GTTGATGTTTGATTCTAATATGAAATAAACATTCATAAAAAACGACTAGCTATACATGATCTTTACGATCAATGCGTATTGTGCGACGTTAAAAGTGTAGGATAACTGCGTATGATTTCTTGACTATAATATCCGAGAAATGATTTTATCCAAGGAAGAAAAGCACGTGACTAAAATTTCAGCGAACTTGATTCGCCCAAATAATGAGACTTCAATAACCCCCGTCTATTCTAGCCATGTCACCAGATAATGGAGATATTATTAGTCTATATAAAAATGCATGTGATGCGGAAGTAGGTGCTATCAAAGCTAATCAAGAAGAAACATTACGTTGGTGTTTCTATGCTAGAAAATTCAAAAGCATGTATAAAGATTTTATGGTCAACAATAAAGTCGGGGAAAAGAAGGCAAAAGGTCAGGTATATGACTTTATTGTCAAACAGCTACCGGACACCAAACGCAAAACTTTATGTAAGCAGACACAGAAAGCTTTAAGAATTGACAATTTATTTGAAAGAATAGGAATGGACAAGATTCAATACATCAAAACATATAGTGCAGATACAATTTCAAAATTTACTAATACTCAAATTCAAAAGATTATAGATCACTTCGCCAAAAAGCCTGATATAGAATTCACTGATGAACAGAATAATTCTCCAGATGTTTTATCCGAAACTGAGGTAAGTATACCTATTGAATCGATTCTTTTAGATTCACCCCAAGAAAACGATAAAGATTCAGAATTACTAGAAGTTGAGATAAGTGCGTCATCTTCAGATATCAAGAAAACTTTACCGGAATTTGAGGTAAGTAATACATCTACTCTTTCTAATTTAGAAACGGTTCCAGAGAAATCAACCGAGATACAGGCAAGTGTGTTTTATGAGGACGTTAATGATAAGAATTTCTCTGATGATGGGAGCTTCTGTGGTTTTTCTGATGACGATGATGAAGGTTATTATTAGATTTAAACACCGGTGAAACTTATACAAAATCGGATCGTTGTTGTTCAATCAGCGCATATTAACCTTACTAGCTCCGCTATCGATTTTCAACACATGTCTTTGTGTAACCTAATTATTGCCACATAAAGATTAGAAATACGTTAAATTTTTTTTGTTGACAATGAACTTCACTAAGAATAAACATTTCGGACATAATGTTCATAAAAATACCAATCTTATTTTTAAACTTCGTGGGTCAATGTGATTACCAGTAAAGCGATCCACGATTTATCAACATTACATAATCTCTCACTAATTAAACTGAATTAACGTTCATTATTAGTCTGCGAAATAATTTGCATAATTATTTTCGATTACACATGAATACATGCTATTAGTAATAAAGAAATGCTAATACCTGATTACGTTTTCTATAAAGTTAAAAGTATCTTCTCCACTTTACATGAAATAAATGATGATCGAAACATAGCCCTATAAAAGATGCAATTTTTCTACTGTCTTCCCTTCTGCAAAGCCAACGTGGCATTTAACAAACTCATCGAACTTGGTTTCACTTATCTTAAATCTGAATATCCGCAAGTCCTCACAATTAAATTTCTAATCGGAATTTCTTTGCATAAATGCGCCCATTCATCGTTTTGGAGAATATGCTTTTTATGGCTTTAACGGCTACTTTATTTTTTGTCGTTGCGAAGATGACATCCATTTGTGTATAGGATTCATCACCATATGGTTCTTCCTGTGGGACGTAAAGCGAAAAAATGCTGATGAAACAAACTCTCGTGAAACCAAGATCAACACTGAACAAATCCGAAATAAATCCCGTGATGCTAACTATGCAATGGAGGCACAGAATATCATTAACGTGATAACTGGGAAATATAACGAAATCGAACAAGTCCTTCAAACCTACCATAATAATTTTGGTAGAGTCGCAACTGAATTCGAATCAATCAATGGATCTATCTCAATGCTCCAAAATTAAATCAATCGATATTATGCCGTTATCCAGGCACTAAGTGCCATTTCTCCCGAAATAATTGAGTCTACCGAGGAAGCAGAACAATCCGATTCGAGCCAACGATCATTTCCAGGTATGACTTCAGAAATCTGGAACAATTTAAAATTATTTTTGATAGAATTATGGCAGAAAAGCGTGTTCTTTAAATGATATGTGTGGTATTGTAGCCGTTGGTATTCTTAATCTTGGGGCGGGAAAACGTAGTAAAGATATAATCAAAAATTATTATCGTAGAATTAATGATTTAAAAGGCAGTAAATTAGATCAAATAAGTGCTTGGATTGATAGCAAACCAGTTAATAGTGAGTAGCGGGAAAGGAACTGCCATTATATGGGTTAGGGCTCGGCAGGCTTAAACAAGCAGGCATGTTCTTTTATGCCTTTCCTCCCTTGAAACATCCTGCTACTCTATTATTTATTACTTCCATGTTTAGACGGCCGGACGAAAAATATAAATATCTGAAAAATAAATAAAATTTTGCCGTTGGTGTGTATGCAAGTTCCCGTGCAAATTTTCTTATATCAAATGATTGTCATCAATCAGTAAGTCAGTCATAGACCTGAATGGATAACGATATTCCCAGGATATCCAAAAGTAAGTTTGAAAACTGGCGCTAGTACTACAGTTCACCACTTAACAGTTTCTATTTCTAGTTTATACGCTTATTCCTGGCTAGACAACTTAAACCAAGAAAAATGGATGAGAAAGCTGATAAGAGAGTTCATAGAACCTTTCAGGTATTTTTAATCTTGCACTATTTCGAAATGGTAGGTTAGCTAGCGAAACGTTTTTATGTAGGAATCCAAGACAGGGGAACCCAGTATACATTCCATTTGGCGTCGAGGGGAAGATAGTAGAACCACCCCATTGTTGGCCAATTCCAATAATAACCATATGGGACACAATAGCCCTTTTTTGGACAATCTACATAATGAGAATGGAGTCTTACAAGGAAATGGAGCTTCAACACCAGAAGGAATATCTTTCCAGGATGACGATTGTGTTGGCAGACAAAATAACAATGATGAATACGAAAAGTTCGCATCGCCCAACGGCAGTCAATGTAATGGCATCAATGAAAGAAGGGAAGATCGTAAAATTTATGTTCGGGGCGTCAGTCCGTATGTCACAAAAGATCAACAAGTTAGTAACACAGTCGAGGGTGAGAGCTATACCAATATTACAATGGTGCCATTCGAATGTTGCCCAAACCAGGAGAGAATCCGATCGTTGCAAATATCCTTGGGGCAACTGCGCCGAATCGGTGTCTTGGCGGGCAATGCATGGACGAAAGAAGAACTGAAAACACCGTGTCATGTTGTGGTCCCGAACGTTCAATATATTGAGGCAAGAATTCCGGAAACCATGTCCCATGTGCCGAAGGGTGAAGAGCAGGATGAACCTCGAGAAGGTCACAATAGTGAGAAATTTCCACTCATGATCGTCGAAATGATCGCATATAAATCAGATCGTAAACGCGTTGCAAATTCTCTTAACTGTAAACTCCAAGGCAGAGATCTTCCTAGTTGTATTTGTTATATGGAACATGTTAAAGAGTATTATGGTTTTGATCATATCATTATCATCGGAGAACTTCATGCTGGAATTCTTTTCCTGGACTGCTACGGTCGTGTGTTCATATGGGAATCAATGTGCTATGTTTTATGGATGCTTGGGGATTATTGGAACGAGGCAACAAAGACTGGTGGCCAAAGCAAGTGGGGTTTAGAGACTGATTGGACTGTTGTTAAATTTGAAGAATTTATGAATTGTATGTGGAGATTTTGTTCATTCCTTTTTTTATCTTAATTCTTACAATTTGTTTCTTTCTCCTAGATCCACTGAATGAATTAACCTTTAACGATCCCACCACAAAAATGATTGGTAATCACCCTGTTGCAAAGAAGAAAAAGAATTTGAAAAAAAAGAACTCGAAAAAGAAACAATATTGATCTGGTTTCTATATTGTATTATCCTCAATTTCGATCATCGTGAGTTAAATAAAGATTTTTGCATATACTGAAGAAATATCAATCATGATTATTTTTCTTGGCAAAATTTCAGCAAACTTGGTTTGCCCAAAATCACGTGTTTATTTTATTATAACCCTTTAGGGTTGTCCCTTCGGTCCTGAGATCTGTACAAAAATAAACCATATTATTACACAGTATAAAGAATCCAGTCTGCACTAAAAATGAATTTAATTATGTATATCAAACCAAAACTAATAAGTCTAATAGGTCTAAATCTCCTAAATACAATATAATCAATAAATATGTCAGGTTTTGATATTGCTATTATTCTCGATAAGAGAGATAAAACATTACCCAAACCCTTTAACATGTCCTGGATATGATATGAAATATGTTGTAATATATATTGGAAATTATTTTGCTTTTGATGGAAAACGATACGATGAACTCTTCGATAATGAGAGATCATTTGATACTCTATCTATCATAAAACAGAATGAAACACCTGTTTAATGGGCAATACAAGTAAGAATTCCATTACAAGATTTGTTAAATGCTGGAAAATTTAGTCTATATCACCGGCTATGTTTATTTATGTCATATGGTAAAGGTAAATTTAATAATTTTCATTATCATAGCCAAGAATCCATAAAAGTCATATGGTATTTGCTTTGATTGCTGGAAACTCATAAAAATAGATGATGTACAACCAAAGAAATCATTCCATTTCACTAGAAATAGGTATGTCGAAATTATTGAGCCAGATGATTTGATGCAGAAACATTGGGATCACAAGTGTGATAAACCTAAATCTCGAGATGGATATGCGAAAATTATACAAACTGCTTATCACTGATTCAAAGAAAGAGTATGATCAAATGCACGACTTGCATGGAATAGCTTACCAAATGATAATACTCCAGATGATAAGAAATTTTTAGGTTTAATTCCGCAAAAAATAAAAAACTCAGACTCCCTAGATCGATTAAAAACACATCTTAATAAGGAATATGCCGAGTATATAAAAGAATATAGTAGATATCCATATAAAGCTGAATTAGAAATTAGTTTGTATCGGGATTATATTATTCCATATAATTGGATAAATCATAAAAAGGAACAATTGCGATATAGATTTGGTAAACGTCTCCAACAATTAGAAATATAAATGCACATATCTTTTCCCAAACATGAGAGAAAAACCACCTGAAGTATTCCTGGGGGCTAGTACTTTAGACTTTATTTCGTTATTCCCAAGGGCTGGTAACATTTTTTTCACTTTGATTTTTATATACAGTTACTTTACCTGACACAAAAAATCCCCTTGATACAAATAAACTACAGAATTTATTTATTTTTTCAACATCTACTCCAACTTCAATCAGGCTGGATATTGATAGCTATTTCATTTGAGAATAGTAGCGAATAAGATATTGAAACCATCCACCTCAATTTCAACACTAGGCTGGATATGTGCATCTTCTCAATTATATAAGAAGTGGCAAGTAGGATGTACTTATATTGTTGTATTAATAAATAACTGAAAAAATAATTATTCGATTGTTATGCCTTATTTTATCCGATTTCAAAGTATTATATCTTCTGAAATCTCGCCCTGGTTAGGCAGAATGTTTATTATCTTTTAATCCCTCGATCTCCTTTTCTAGATCAAGAGGGGGTGTCCCATCGAAGTGAGAAAGATTCAGGTCTGGGTTATTCAGATCTATAACTATAAACTCTTTTTGCCTCAAATAACCGTCAATAATTTTTGAAGCTTTTCGCAGATCTACATCAGTGTAAGGACTTATAATATCTGTGAGTTTTCGAATAGAGCCCCCACCATTAAAGAGAACAATGTGAGTAGCATTTTCACGAATATCTATTGGGATTTTGTGGAATTTCTGAGCAACATAAATTGAGGAAATATTCTCATGACGACCTCGAGTGAAAAATGGAATAATTTTTTTCTGTATAGCTGGAGGGTCAGAGTAAAGATCTTCAAATATCGCTAATGTACTTCTTTTAGCATTAAACTTTTTGGGATCTGGGATTTTATCAGGAGATAGTGTAGAAAATGTGACATCTTCATAATAGGGCTTTGATTTGTCTTGGGCAAGATATTTATAAAAATCTCGAACTATTTTATATTTTGGCTCATTTAAATGATGTCCGAAAAGAAATACATCATCGCATTTAACATTGTGTTCCCCTATCTTAGAATGCTTTTTCTTCTTAAACATGTAATAAAATTTGGGCATTATTAGCAAGTTTAAATTCATATTGGTCTTACCTGAATTGCTAGCCCCTGCCATCACGATACGAAAAGGCCATGCTGGCGCATCTTTATCTCCCTGGTATTTTTTCGAAGGTTTTACCTCATCCACGGCAAATACACAATATAACATCTTTTTGTTATAAATATATATTATGTTTTTTTATTCCGACGAATAATCTGATTTTGACACGCTATTTATATCTATATTTTGTAGATAACCTTTCTTTTGTAATTTGCTTTTTATGTATGGGAATAAATCAGCACAATACGGTATTTCAATAAGATCTATACCTCGCTCTTTGCATATATCCCGCTTTTTTTGATCACGCTTTCTTTGATTATCTAGATCATCTTGATTTTTGTGATATAAACTATTGCGATGGTAGTGTTGAACACCCTGGAATTCGAATGTTAATTTTAGTTCTTCGTTATACCCATCTAATTGCATCCCATTCAAAAATGACGGTTTACATGATGGAAATTTCTTACCTAATAGATCTTCAAAAATATATCTTACATTTCTCTCAGTGGTGTGATGACATAATGGACACCATTCAAACTTCGTAGCTATTAATGGATATGGGTACTCAAATTGATGTTTACCATTCTGACATGACCAAAGATATACATTCTGATCATTAATTCGACCAGTTTTAGCTAAAATACTTCCATCACGTTTCTTGGCATATTGTTGGACCCTGTCAAATTCACTACTAGAAACACGAATGAAATGTATCGATCCAGAAGGATGATATTTTCGTATAAAATTGTCAGGTGGATATTCGACTTCTTCAGGATTTTCTATTACTTGGAGTTCTTCTCGCTTGAATGGTCGATGTGGGTTACGTCCCATCAAATGAGCAGTAGATTCAATAGGCTCATCTTCGAGATAGTATAAGACTGGCTGTGGTGGATTCCTTCCAACAATAACCTTTTTAATTCGATAAACACGCAACGAGAAGTATGGATCAGTTTTCCTATGAACGTGTCCTCCTTCCAACTCACCTGGTTTTAATAAATATCTTACAGTCGTTCCTTTTTGTAATCGCAGTTCATCTTTCCCAATAGGTCTTTTAGGTTTGATGGTTACTTTGGGAATCACTTCCCGCAATGTCATAGCATGGTCAGGGCTCATACCGATTAATCGCGTTTTATTATTATTCATATAGTTGATAATTTTCCGAAGTATCTTTTTCCATAATTTTGAGCGTTCACCTTCTTTGAGTTTTCCTTCTATAGCATATTGAATTTTATATATAAGTTTTGC